TGTCTACCTTAGGTACTACGTGAGAGTCAATCCTAACTTCCACTTCTGATTCTGTTTCCCGGCCGCTGAAACGACATTCCATGTATTCAGTCTTGTTCCTACTTATTCTGAATCCTTTAGTCTCAAGGGCAAGGCGCCATCGTTCCAACTTATGGTTTAGTCCCTCGCGTGTGTCGTCGATAAGCACAATATCATCCGCGAAAAGCATGCACCATGGGACCCCTCTTTGAACACCTTTAGTTAGGACGTCCATCACCAAGGCGAACAAAAAAGGGCTAAGGGCCGACCCCTGGTGCAACCCCATCCCTACCGAGAATGACTCAGAGTCGCCCCTAGAGGTCCTTACCCTAGTCCTAGCCCCATCGTACATATCCTTGATCGTGCGAGTGTACGCGATGGGAACTCCTCTCGTCTCAAGGCACCTCCATATGACCTCCCTTGGCACCCTATCGTACGCCTTCTCAAGATCAATAAACACCATATGGAGGTCCTTCTTCCTAGCCCTATACTCTTCCATTAACCTCCTCACGAGGTGAATGGCCTCTGTAGTCGATCTACCAGGCATGAAACCAAACAAGTTCTCAGAGATGCATACCCGTTTCCGCATCCTATACTCAATGACTCGCTCCCAAACCTTCATGGTGTGGCTAAGTAGTTTGATGCCTCTGTAATTCTCGCAGCTCTAGATGTCTAAATTAGTAGAATTTTTTTTTTTTGCATTTCATATATAGTACTTTTTAAATAAATGTAAGCCAAAACTTATGGTTCAAAATCCAACCCCATTCAAATCAGCATATATTTTGGGGTCAAATATTGTTATCTCTAACGTAAATTGGAATAGAGAAAAAAACCCCATAACTCTTTTTTAACTTTAAATCAAAGATAATTTTAATCAATTATAAAAAGTCAAAACTGAATAAATAATCTAGAATTGATGAGGAGGTATTAGATTTTATTTTTGGAGTTAAAAAGAGTAATGATAATAGAATTGAAATGTAACATGGGAAGCCTAGCCTCTCTCTCTCTATAGTGCAAATCTAAATATAGAATGTTGTACACGTACCACTCTATGACATGAAATTGGCTAAGTAAGTGGGTAACGCACGATCATTGTTATCTCCACATTGCCTCCCATTAATGATTAAATTAAAACAAACTTAGATATTATATTGTGATTGAATTATTAAAAAAACTTGCTGTAAAATAAAACGGCTAATAATGTATATAGCTTAACAAGTTGTTTTATGCCATAAAAGATAAGGTAATTAAATTCAATTCATGATGACTATGTTAGAAGACTATCAAGTTCTACACACACTTATTTGAGAATAATTTCAATATATACAATATCCAATTTTAAAATTTATTTTTAGTATTTTTTAAAATCAATCTGTATATATTATTAAAAAAGTATCCAAAATGTGAAATAAAAGTATAATGACTGTGTTTTATTTCAATCATTGTTAGCATTTTGTATCATTCTTTAAAGATGCAAATTAACTTTAAAAATATTAAAGATGAATTCTTCAAATAGGAGCAAAAGATTAAGAAAATACCGAAATAGACGTATTACTCTTTTTTGTGACTTAAATATGAATTTACATTGCAGACTGCCACACTGTCACCACTCACCACTACTACACTGTCACCATCACATTATCCTGTAATCACGCATTGTTATATAATATTGTAATCGCATTTTCAAACTTCTATTTAAAAGATAAACAATAAAAAAATGTCGTTTTTGTTTTGATATTTAGATATCGTCCTATCTAGAAGTATTTTCTTAATATTAAAATTAAGTGTATAATTGGTGGAACTAATGGTGTGTTTGGTCGGGTGTAAAATATTTTCCAGAAAAATTTGATTTTATTTTCATGTGTTTGGTGACATTAGTGGAAGGTAAATATTTTCCTACCAAACAATGGATTATATGATTGAAGAATAATTTTTTCTTGGAAATATTTTTCTTTGGAAAATATTGTTCAAAGTAAATATTTACCCCCAATTAAACACAACCTAAAATTAGTTTCTTAAAAATATTATTAAAATTACAGAATTGGTGGAACTATCTCTAATAAAAACATGTCACTGACTTCTTTCCATTTTCTTCAATCAAGTCGTTGGGTGTATTTAAAAATGTAGCCTAATAATAGCATTAGGATGGTGAGGTATTTCCTATTGATTTAAGCCTTTTTTGGGAAGAGCATTTTCAATTAGTGTAGCTAATGTTTTAGATAAAAAATTAATGGTACAGATTAACTCAGATAATGCTAAAAGCTACCGTCACATAGCTTTATCAAAACGCTAACGCTAATCTCTAAACCTGATACCAAAGTGAAAAGTTTATTTTTGGACGAGAGTGTATAAGAGTAGTATTGTTCTTTAAGGTGGTAAAATACACACTTATTGCGTCCTCCAATATTGTTCTACATTTTTTTTCGTTTGCAAAATTTCATTTTATTGCATTGTTTTCAACAACATAATTTTACTTTTTTTTAATCTTAATCTCTATACAAGTTAATTAGTTATTGATGTTTATATTCTTAGGTTTTTTAAAATTTATGATATGGTTTAAATTATTTAATAGTTAAGAAAAATAAATCTAATCGACTAATTAATAATTTACATTTATATTTTTATAAGTTTTTTTGCATATCACATATACTCATAAATAAAGCGAAATACTTAAGAAAGTTTGATTTATTTGATTCGGTTTGATTTTCTGAAGTGAAAACCAAAACGGAAACCAAATAATGACGCTTAGGCTTGGTTTTTTTACATTCAGTTTTAATTTTTTCAGTTTAGTTTTTTTCTAGCTCGTTTCAATCGTTTCAGTACGGATTTCGGTTTTCCCAACCCAGTCCTAATAGGAAGATCGTTTCCCAATTCCAATCTATTGTGGGATGCTCGCCCAGATTCGATTTCTAGCACATGCATTTGAACGCTCTGCGTCATTAGATTGAGAAAATATAAATAAATGTTATAGTTATAATAAAATCAATAGCACTACAAAAATAAATTTTACGGAGTAAAAAAATTATTCTCTTTGTACATATATAGTAGGCTTTCTCATTTTACTTTTTTTTATCAAAATTTATAAACTTTAATCTCAACACAAAAAAATACATTCTATTTTGATATAAAAGCAACATCAATAGTTTCTTTAAACATAATCTAGAAATATTAAATTTTTATAAACATACAAAGTATTTATGTATGAATATAGATGTTAATAGTCGAAACATTTATAGGATAAGTCAAATGGGAAATAATTTATCCGAGTAAAATTTTGCCACGTTTGTGAAAAGAGTAAAAAAAACTGAAATTTATTCACCGAAGATCAAGCAGATTCTTAATGCACGTTTCTTCTCTCCACACCCAGAAAGGATTCCATTTAAACCCCCTAAACCTTTAACTACCATTCTCCGCCACCGCAACCGCCGCCTCCACCGCCTTTAGATAGAGATCATATAACTTCAAAATATCTCTGCACTAATTAATTAATACTCCATATCAGCCAAATCCAGAGATTATATTATTAATTACTTCCCACAAAAAGGAAAAATAATTTCATAAGAGTTATGGGAAATCAGTTTTCTTGCCGGAGTGTTGGCGTTAGCGAACAAATACAGGCGGTTTCCTGCAAGGTGCTCCTCCCCGGCGGGGAACTCCGGCTGCTCCGGGAACCGGTCAAGGCGGCGGAGATCATGCTCGAACACCCGGCCCACTTCCTCGTCAACGCCGGGTCACTCGTCGCCGGGAGGAGATTCTCCGCCCTCGCGGCGGACGACGATCTGGCGTTCGGAAACGCCTACGTCGTGTTCCCGATGAAGCGGCTGGGCTCGGTGATCACGGCCGAAGACGTGGCGGTGCTCGTCCGGACCGCGGCGGCGAAAAGGGCTTGTTCCGGGAACGCGGGGAAGGTGTCGCCGGCGGACGGGTCGCCGGGAAATGACGTGGACGGACTCGGCGCGGCGGCGGAGTATCGGCAGCATAGGTTGTCTTCTTGTAGGTCCAAGAAGCCTTTGTTGGAAACAATTGTGGAAGAACCTGACCGTACACGTGGCAGACGATAAGGCAAATCTTTTTTCTCTTTTCTTTTTTCCTTTTTCCATATCCTTTGGCACAAATTTAGCATTTTTTTTAAGTTTAGCACAAAATTTGCTTAATACTTATCCCTTTGCATTTAATCTTATATCTTCAAATTACTTTCTAAAATATACGGTGCTTCTAAAGTTTATTTGAACACTAATAATTCTGTTCAATTTATTGAAACTCAAAGAATTTCTATTTCATTAATGTTTGAATTTGCGACCACTTGTTTGTGAGTGACATAGTGATCTTGTTCGACCACAAAGTCTTCGGCACATGTAAAATTAACAATATGCATAGTAAAATTTTGATTTTTTCCAATTTTTTAACTGTGTCATTGTATACATAATCATGAGTATAATATCTGTCCAATTTTTGAACTGTGTCATCTAAATATCTTTTTATTTTTTTATATTTGGGTGAATGAGTCAAGTTTAACCAAAAAAGTCAAATTAGGACAATAATTCAGAGAGCGAATGATAATACAAAACAAACAAGTAAACGTTTTTTAAATAATTTGATCATATAAATAATAAAGAAAAAAAATAAAAAGAGAAGTAGAAAATATACAGGCTACTCTTTTTCTCTCTCTCCATTTTTTCTTGTTTATCCAAATAATTAAGGCATAAACGATGTGCTAATTGTGCATTAGTTTCTGGTGGAATATGTGCTTAAATTAGAATCAAATTTTGTTATGAAGTCCAAATAGTTAAAAGACCGGCTTTGCAAGTTTTTTTTGAATACTAAAAATAAAAATCTTGCAAGATTAAGATTGCCTAGCTTGTTAGCAGGGAAATGAAATCTTTAATTATGGCCAAAAAAATGTGTTACAAGTTAGAGAAGAGGCTTGATATGAGAGAAGAGATCCCATTTTTTTTAGGTAATTGTCCAAGCTGAGAGATTCCCGGGGTAAGGTTCAATCTTTTTTCTAGAGTATTTCTTCATAAAGGTAAATTAGACTTTATCCAAAAAGATACGCCGTATTTTTATGATGCTTGTATTATTTCGTCGCAATTTAAGTTTTATATTTATATGTTCATTATTCACGCGATTATACTTCATTCATTTTTTGCACATTTTTGTAACTATTTTTATTAAAATAATATAATGCTATCACTTCTTCATTTTTAGAAATTTTGATATAATTTTAAATTTTAAATTTTATTTTTTTTAAAACCGATTTTTAAGTAAATTGTACGGAGTACTTCGTATTGAAAATTCTTTTTGTCAAATATTGTAAACTCAAATGAGCAAGTCAAATTAAGACGGAAAGGCTATTAAATCCAACAAAGCTATTTTTGAAATTTTGTCTTTATGCTATATATCGATTTTTGTTTTTTTAAAAGAGGATACATGACGACTTTGGTTATGTGAATCAAGAAAAAAACGTCAAAATACATATTTTGTCAATAGTTGTATGACTTGTATCAAAGCAAACTTATCAAATGTTAGATAAATAGTTTTTTAATGGTCACATCAAAGCTACCTTATCCAATGCTGAAGATGTTCAAAAGTTTCACTTTTCGTCGAGAAATTTAACTTTAAATAGTGATAGGTTATGATATAAGACCTTTTGGTATAACAATGTCTTGTTCAAGTACTAGGGGAAAACTTGGCTTTGTTGATGAAGGATTGGAGCAGAACCATATATAGAGTCTAATTTAAATCATACTCCATCTCTTCGACGATAATTGGTCTCTTTACTATTCCAAGTTGTTCATAATTTTTGTTGACGTATACGTTTTTATTGATTAATTGATGAAGTATGCTACCACTATCTCTAAATATTTATGCATTTTTTATTTTTTTCAATAAAAATTAATAAACTTTGACCATTAATTATATAAAATTTATACTCTCTCCGTCCCTTTAAATATGAGATGTTTTGATTTTGAAGAGATTTAAGGAGGATGTATATTGGTATTGAATTTTCAAAAATGTCATTTGATTTGATGGGTAAAGTAAGATTTGATGGGTAGATTATTAGTAAAAAAATATGATGTCATAGGTAGAATATGAAAAAATAAGGGATAAAAGTGATTTTTTAATAAAAATAAGAAATGTTTTTTGGAACGAATTAAAAAGAAAGGGGAAAGGTTTTCAGGTACAGAGAGAGTATTAGATATTGATGCAAAAAATTACTCATTAGATTTATCTTGTACAATATTTTCAAAATATTTTGTCTAATTAATAGAGCACTTAATTTTTATTTAGTTATAAGTCAAAGGTTAATCTTGATTGACTGTAAAAAAATTAACCAATTTTTCATGGACAGAGGGAGTAGTGGTCACGTCACCACTTATTTTGCATACTCTATGCCCCATATCTTTCTTCATATTTGACTTTTTACGATCTTCAATGCAATACTTTAACCATCTCTATTTATGTATAAACATGTATTATAAAAGAAAAATCTACAGTAATATTCCAAAATTTTTTCGATTTCACAAGAATATTCCAAAAATTAATTAAATACATCATTACTTTCACAATTGCTCTATTTTTACAAAAACTCTCCATCCGCCACTTCATTTGCACAATCGTATTGTGCAATATCTACATTAATTTCCTATAATCTCATGATTCTTTTGGCACTCATTTTTTGATGTCATCATATGACACCAGAATGCTACATCGCTCCATGGAACTTAAAGTTGGACCACCCCCACCCCCCAAAAAGCACACAAACCAAGCCTCCATCATTTCATCGAAAAGCTAGTGTAATGTAGCATTTCAACAAAATGTTGAGAGGGGAGCCTGTGGGTGTGGGTTAGGAGGTAGGAACCGATTCTGGACCCCAAAAAACTCCGTAGCCCTCCCAAATGGCATGACACCAAAGACCGGTGTTAAAAGATCCCTACCCTTCTATCCTTCACAATTATATGCATGAGAAAACACGATTGAGGGTGCGATTTGAATAGAATAAGAAGGCCTAAAATAGGGTTCTGCACTGCAACATATGTGGAGAGAGGGGCGTGAAAGAACACCTCTCTAGTTTTCATCTAAATAACGTATATGAAGTGGATCTAATATCTATACACTAACCATTTTGATTAAAAATCACTCATATAAATAAGGATTTGAACGAATGTATGTGAGTGACACCAAAGCTCTTGTTACAACTTACAGTCCTCTGCACTCTGGTTCCCTACTCTTTTCTTCACTTGTGTTTCTCAATCGTAATTTACATCCACTGTTGACCATCTATCAGTTCCAGCTTCTCTTAGGCCTGAAAGTTTTGTGTAAGACAAGAGGGAAATACATGAGCCATGCCAGCCTCTACCACACACATACACAAACACACATCTATTTGCCATTCTTGTTTTTTCTTGACGTTTCCTTTTTTTCTAAATACTCCGTCCGTCCCAAAAGACACAAATTTCTAAGTGAACTTCATGTAAAGAGCCAAGTGGAAAGCAGTTCTGGTCAATTACTCTGTAAAATTTTGGAAAGAAGCTTTTATGAGATTAGCTCTAGTGCTTTATACCGGATGGCTTGGGGATGGATGAAAAATAGGGAAGGGGTATAAGTGACTTAATAATTTATAAAAATAATTGAATCCTAATTGATTTAACCAAAAAAAAAACAAAGTTGTACCTTACTCAAACAGGACTCTATTTTTCGAGACGGAGGGAGTGATTCATATATTCTTTAAAGAGTGTAGGTATTTATACTTTCGATTCTTTTGTCGTGAACGCCAAAACCAGGCAAGCGCTCCGAACGCACAGCTGGCAACTGCAACGGCAAATGCGGCCCCCACTGGAACAACAATAGCACCTGTTGAAGCTACCGGTTCCTCAGGAGGGGTTTTTTCATCACCAATATCTTCTTTGTCCTTGTAAAGACTAGCCAGCGCCTTCCCGTAGTAACTGACCAAGAACTTGAAGACCTCATCTTTATCCCACTTGACATTGCTTTCATTGCCGTTCGTAATGCCTTTGTCAAGGTAGCACGAGTGGCAAAGCTGTATGGGTGGCCAAATCCCTTTTGGGAATTTGGGGTCACCCGTTTTCAATGTGGACTCAGCTTTCATCAGTCTTTCGTTGACGGTATTGTGTGCATCCCACAACCAAAGTGAATAGTCCCGTGCCTTCTTGAACGGAGTAGAAACCCTGCTAAGTTTGGAACATTTTAATATGCATATATTCATTTGATTGAACATATTTTAGAATTTGCCAATTCTTTTGAAGCTGCACATTGGCCGTGATATCTCAAATTTGATCAGAATTCTAAGTTTTCTAGCAAAATTTCAAAATTTTCAATAAAAGTCATAGTTATGCCCCATCGGCATGCCAAGCTGGTACCAGCCGGTGCACAAACATGATCATTACAGAAGGGTTAATCATGTTGACTATGTGAGAATTTTAAAACTGCTGCTTTGGTGCCATGTCGTGGATTTAAATATCTCAAATTCTAAATATTAGACTATATTTCCACAATATTTCACTTTCTTGGAGGTCCCGGTACTGACACGAGAATCCTCAAATTTGATTATTATTCACAATATTTAATTTTGATTTTTTTTCAAGATATCATTATTTCCCTTATTCCCTACACCAATATTTGCTTGAGTATGCAGATTGCTGACAAGACTTAATTTTGCAAAGATTTGAAATTTCGCTAGAACTTTGATCAGATGTGAAAGTCATGACCATCGTGGCAACTGGCAACCCATAAATTAGCTAAATTTTAAAATTTGGACAAAACAAATTAACTTTTTGCAGTAATTAGGCCTAAAATGAGGGTTATACAAGGATAAAGTCGTAAATTATCCACTGATAGAATCTTACCTTGAACACATTTCATAGAAATGCTCCCTACACTCTTGACATATGAAAAAGTGGTGTATGAAATTGCATGTTGTTTTAAAAGCCATATTGCTTTCTGCATCTTCCACTCTTACAGAGAGGGAGTGTAAAAGGACCCACAATCCACAACTGCAGAGTAAATGATGGTTCTTGGTTAAGAGAAACAATCCGCAAAATGACAGTTAATCGCTGTCTCATAATATTTTCCATGCATGTGGAAATAACCTACACCGAAAGGCATCTGACTTAAAACTCTTACTGTGTGAGTGTGAGTGTTTGTAAATATATAAATCAAAAACGAACTATAGACAATGAATTTTTACAATAAAATTCATGTTGCTGAATCATAGACAAAAAAAACTTTCATTGT